TTCAGAATTTTAGAACAGTGTATTTTAAATCATTTTCCTTACACCAAAAAGCTACTTCTTAGAAGCCTAAATGGCAGAATAAACTTCCTTTGTCAAATCAAAAAATCTTGCTTTTCTCTGCTTCATTTTAGGAAACTACAACCTCATATAACTGGGCTGCAATGGCCCCAAACAATTGCTGTCTAAAGATCTCCTTACTTGGGGGATTAACCTAATAGTTTTTTTAATCTTCTTTAAACTAGAAGTTATTAAGGATTAACCCAGACAAATAGAATTCAAATTTAGTCCTTGACCTAGGAGGTCTGTTAATTGCATCAACAGCAATCTCTGTTCATATGTAATTCAGGCTATGTGATGTTGAAACGCTATACATTTTTTTTTTAATGGAGATGCTGTGTGTAGAATTAGAAGAATGAATTTCTCCTAACTCCCCTGTAGGATGGAAAGAGGGAAAAGATAATCATCGTTTCTGGTTTGAATACTGGGTCAGAGAAAGAAACGTGATGGTGTGGTTTTGCCTGATGTGGGATGTGAAGCCATCTTGGGACTGACAGCATTTCATTATGGTTGGACAGAAAGAGAGGGTAACACAGACAATATTCTTCTTTCTCTTTATAAAGACCTGACTGTCTTCAAGAATTAATATTTATCTTTAGGACTTTAGAGGAATACATGTGAAGGGTGTGTGTGTGTGTGTGTATGTATGTATGTATGTGTATGTGTGTATGTATATAAGAGAGAGAGGGAATAACGTATGTGGAGAAAGAAGAAAGTTTGTGATGCATGCTCATGGAAAAACCTCAAAGGGTCACTTGGGAAGTCAAAACATACCATCAAGTATCCTAAGGAACATTCTACCAGCCTAGATGCTCAGGTGTGAGGAAATGTAGTGCTTTGGAGAGGAATGCACTGGCTCTAAGGAGAGGTCTGGTGAGAGAGGAGGGAGTTTCCCTCATGCAGATGAGATTTACGGCATGGAGACTGGAAAAAGGTAGGTTTATACAGGGACAGAGTCAAGGATGGGAGAGCCATGAAGAAGAGAAATCCCTGCAAAGAGCTTCATCCCATAGACAATGGGGAAGTCATATGTAGCATGAAAGTTAGAACTTTTTTTCCTCCTGTGTTGTGATGCCTTTCAATGATCTCATCTGGGAGAATTGGAACTGCCCCTAAATGGTAGGTTGTATTAGCAACCCCAATCCTTCACTCTCCCCTATATCTAAGCCCTTGGCCACATGGCTTTGCTCTTCCTCCCATCAAAGGGCCAACTAGCTTTCCCTGACCCTTGCTTCTGAGTTCAGCCACATGGCATGCTCTGACCAGTGGGATATTAGCAAATGGAAAGCAAATATGTGGAAAAAGCACATGCACGATGAAGCCTGGTCTCCTTCACCTCTATCTATCCCATCTCGACCTAGGAGGAGAGAATTTGGGGGACAAGAGACACGAGAAATGCAGACAAGACAGTGCTCTGATCAAAGTCTCGTTTAATGGCGGTAATGCAGTGCCTTATATACACTGGGAGGGGAAGGGGTTGGGCCAGAGGCGGAGATGATCTCATCGCAGAGGCGTGACCAAGTAGGTATTGGTTTCTCTGGTCGAACGTCATGTTGCACCTGCGCTGTCAGTTGGTAATTTTCCCGGGCACGGGATGGTGCCTGTGCTACAAAGTAACAATTTTCGCGGCCGCGGGGGGGAAAAACAAGTGAAGAAGAAGCAGGAAGAGCGCCATCTATTATGAGGTATTGATACAAAAGAGAAACAACAAATCTAGGGAGGAGGTAGAAGGTGGAAAGGAATAGAGCTCGGGCGTTTAATCATTAATTATTATTTGCTATGGCCGGGGCGCGCAGCTCCGGACATATCATCACCATGAGAAGGACATGCCAGGGCTATGCTGCTTGTCCTAGGAGGAGAATAAATGCTAGAGGTACAAGGAGCAGAGCCACCTCCTCCCAAGTCCAGTGTAGATTAGCTGATCCCCTGGCAGCCCGTAGACTCCACATGAGTTATGATTTTTAAAATCTAGCCTTTTTGACCCATCTCTGTTAGGTTTTTTTTTTTTTTGGTTTTTTTTTTCCTCATAATGCCATTACCCTTATATGTACATCCCAGGGTCAGGAGATAAAGCCCACTCTATCAAGTACTTATCACCGAACTTGCAATTCAGTCTCTCCTACTTTTGAGTTCACATAAGAAAAAAAAACAAAAAACAAAAAAACCCTCCTTTAGTAGTTTCACTCAAGACAAAAATTACGAGGAGGTGGGAGGAATGAAGGGTTACATCTGGAGAGAGTTAAGTTGCGTGGCCGCAAAAGCAGCTGAGAAGATGTCATGCGGCGATTTCCCTTGTGTGACCATTTTGCTTTTGCTTGGGAATGGGCATGTTTTCTAATGGTTGTGGGTTTTATTGAAACAGAAGGAAAATACTGCATGTTCGGAGAGGAAATTCGGCAGTTTGTTTAGGCTGTTAAACCACGTTTGCCCTAAATTTATTGACCAGGAAGATCCTGTTAACTAAAATTGGGAGATCTTAGGGAAACCCTAAATCTTGTGCAGCCGTTAGTTACTGGGCACCCACAGAGCTTTTGATGAGATTTCGTGGAGAATATCTTTTACAGGGTTTGAAAATGTAAGTCTTCATATATCATTCCCCTGTGATGTCTGCTTTGATAATCCAGGCTGATGTCATAAAGAGATAGTGACTAACAGTCTTGAGTGTTGCCAGTCGACTGTCATCCCCTAGCCTCTGTGCCTTTATTAAAATCATCAGAATTTGTCATTCTTTCTCTTCTTATCTGTCTACCTGCACCATTTGATTAATGAAAAATAATACTTCTGGCACATAAAATCATTTTGATTTTATACTCCCATTAGAGTATAAAATAGTATGAAATTCCCATCAGAGTATAAAATAGTATTTTGCCTATGCTAAAACATGAACTGCTATGCAAATCACTGCCCCAAGTTGCCTCAGAGGAAAAAAAAAATGCTAAAATGTTTTAAACTCTTTAAGGCTTGACCAAAGGTTGTTTAGGGACAGTCTTTTATTTAGAAATAAGTTAGGATTGTCTGTAATCCCAGCACTTAGGGAGCTGAGGTGGGAGGATGACTTGAGCCCATGAGTTCGAGACCAGCCTGGGCAACATAGCAAGATCCCATCTCTATTAAATTTTTTTTTTTTTTCTAAAGGTAATAAGTTAGACTCCAAGAAGCCAATGGCTATCTCTTTTTCCTCTTCCCAGTTCCACACAGGATTCAGCTCAGCCAGTCATTCAGTCGTTCTGGAAATATTCTCATCTCTTGGCTTTTACATCAGCACATTCACCTTCTGCTCACTGTTCTGCCTGGGTCTCTTTGTTGGTCTCCTTCTCCACTGGTCAGTTTCCAAATGTGAGGCTCTGTCATGCTCATCTTAGGCTCTCATTGAATATGTTTACATTCTCTCTGGATTACCGCCGCAGGTCCATGGACTTTGACACCATCTCGATGACAATGACTCCAATTCTCTACCTCCAGTCATGCCACGGTAGGTACATCTGTCACCCCACTGTCCCCTCAACATCTGCACTTGGACACATAATAGGCATTTCAGATTTTTTTTTTTTTTTTTTTTTGACAGAGTCTTGCTCTGTGGCCCAGGCTGGGGTGCGGTGGCATAATCTCGGCTCACTGCAACCTCTGCCTCCCGGGTTCAAGCGATTCTCCTGCCTCAGCCTCCTGAGTAGCTGGGATTACAGGCACCCACCACCATGCCTGGCTAATTTTTGTATTTTTAGTAGAGACGGGGTTTCACTATGTTAGTCAGGCTGGTCTCGACCTCCTGACCTCAGGTGATCTGCCTGCCTTGGCCTCCCAAAGTCCTGGGATTACAGGCATGAGCCCACTGTGCCTGGCCACAAACATCTTCAATAAGTCAAATAGTGTATGATTCCACTTACATGAAATACCTAGATTGGTCAAATTCATAGAGACAGTAAAAGAAAATGGTAGTTACCCAGGGCTGGGAGAGGGAGAATGGGAAGGTAGTATTTAGTATGTGCAGAGTTTCAGTTGAGGCTGATGAAAAATTTCTGGAGGTGGATGGTGGTGATGGTTGCACAGCAATGCAGGTGTACTTAATGCCATTGAACTGTGTAGTTAAACATGATTAAAATGGTAAATGTTATATATATTTTTTACCCCAATTTTTAAAAAGCTTCATCAATATTGAAAATCTGCTGAGGCAAATAAATCTCTTCATTGGTGACATCCACAAAGATCGCAGAAAACTCCTTAATAGCTCCAATATTCATAATTTTGCTACCTCATCACCAAACTAGACCTTGATCCAATGGACATAACCACAGGTTGCCATAAAAATTATAGCGGCAGGACTTTGAAGGTATTAATAATTTTTAAGTTCTTCAACAAATTGCTAGCCTTCTGAATTAATGTTAGGTTACTAGGCATCTATTTTTTAGACTAAACCTTCTAGTCAAGCACTCTTTAATTTTTAATTTGCTCAATCACTCTTCTTCTTTTCTTGCTAATTTTGTAGATTGCATGGGCATGAACTTGTCACACATTGTAGGATTCTATTTCTCCTTCAGAATCATGCCAGCTCCCTAATGATTCATCCAGTATGTGTGTGCAACTTTGGTCCTTTCCTCACCATTTTCTTGCATTTTTTTTTCTCCAGAATATTCTTCCATCATAAACGTATGTCTTTCCTCACTAGTGTTCTCACCAATAGTCGCCTTTGTACGTATTGAGCATGTCAGGATTAATAATGTCCCAACACACCTGAAAATGAAGCCAGAGTGCAATAAACACAATTAGACAAACGATCAAAGTGAGACTCACACTTTGGATGCACGAATGAGTCAATGTATTCTGGAAGGACAAACTGGTGGCCTGGGGCCACAATAAAGACAATGAGCATGACTTTTGTTGTTTGTTTAGGATTTATTTCACCCACATGGTATTTTTTTTATTTTAATTTGAATCCTATAGGTAAAGCTTCAGAGCTGTACATAAATACGTGGATTTCTGGCCTCTGCTGAAAATCTGAAAGATCAGCAATGGAGTTTACATTCTGCAAGAACAAGCACTGGTCCTGAGTGGCAGGAGCCCTAGACAGGTGTGGGTTTTCTGATCAACCACAGTCCCCATCCAACCCACTTCACTCGTTACCTCCCTGGCCGTGGTGGGCACTTGAGTTGGTGAGTCTGGCCTTTGTAAGGGAATGACAGCCTTAAACCTAGAATGAAGTCGCCTGCAAGAGGCTCCCACACACACAATCAGAGAGAAAATGTTACTCTTTGATGCTGAATAACTCAGTGATGAGATAAGCCTCAACTAAAAAAAGCCACTGGTGTGTCAAAATGCAAGTTGGTGAGTTTCAAAGAAATAGATTAGTTAAATATTGAGAAAATCAAGTGAAATTACTTAGTGAAGACAAATCATTAAAAAAATTATTACACTTAAAAAATGGCCTCCTGGTAATACTTAAAATTTTTCATAGCTAATGTTTTCAAATGATGAAGAGTTTCATTATGCTATGCAAGATTATAATGTGGAACATTCAAAGACAGAATTAAGATGTGTTGCAGCTACTTCCATAATAGGGTACTGTCTTCCTGATACAGTCTTGATGTTAATAGCCAGGTAATGTCAAGCAGAGAACCTGACTCTATAGAGCTATAACTGATGGTGTTGGGGTTGGAAGTATTTAACTCAGATTTTTACAAAGATGAAAAAGTGAGAATGGCTATGATGAGAATATATACAGTGTATTATACACACATATCTACAAACACAAATTGTATTAGTCCGTTATCACATTGCTTTAAGGAAATACCTGAGACTGGGTAATTTATAAAGAAGACAGGTTTCATTGGCTCAGGGTTCTGCAGGCTGTGCAGGAAGCATAGCGGTATCTGCTTCTGGGAGACCTCAGGAAGCTTCCAATCATGGTGGAAGGTGAAGGGGGAGGAGGCGCATCACATGGTGAAAGGAAGAGCAAGAGAGAAAGAAGGCGAGGGGGCCACAGTTTTAAACAGCCAGGTCTTGTGAGAGGTCACTCACTATTGTGGGGACAGTACCAAGAGGATAATGCTCAATCATTCATGAGAAATCCACCCCCGTGATCCAATCACCTCCCACCAGGCCCCACCTCCAACATGGCGGATTACAATTCGACATGAGATTTGGGTGGGGTAAGTATCCAAACTATATCACACACACATATCTAAACATGCACTATAAAAGACATAGAGTTGTTTCTATCACTTTCCTATGCCTCCTCACTAGAACTTGATGATAGAATTGGAAAAGCAAAAGTTAACTGGCTTATGCAGAAGAAGGAATTTATGGGCTCGTGTAATAGAAAAATTCAAGAGCGGCTTTGTCCAAAGACCCAATCTGTTGTCCTCGCTTGGCTCTGAGCTCCTCCATGTTGCCTTCAGTTTTAGGCTCTCCATGGTGGTGGGATGGCTCCCCACATCTCCAGAGTTCAAGCCTACAAGCCTTGCTCCCCAAGATCCCAGAGAAAAACGCTTTTACTTTTGAAGGACACAAATCTAACCAACCCTTAACTAACAACTTTGACCAGGCAAATACAACATTCCCAGGGGCCACGTCTGAATCATCTGTTCACATCCACTATGAAGAAGGAAACTGACTTTACACAAAGTACCTGGAGGGTTGAGAAAGGGAGTTCCCCAAAGAATAATGTGGGCACTGTTCACAGGAGACAGGTGAAAATTAGCAAGTATCTACTACATAGGGGGATTACTACTGCTGTAACAAATCACCACAAAGGTCGTGACTTAAGACAACACAGATTTATTATCTCCCAGCTCTACAGGTCAGAAGTCCGCAATGGGTCTCACTGGGCTACAGTCAAGGTGTTCGCACAACTGGGTTCCTTTTGGAAGCTCCACAAGAGAGCTGTTTCCTTGCCTTTCCACAATCCAGGGGCTGCCTGAATTCCTTGGCTTATAGCCTCTTCCTTCATTTTCAAAGCCAGCAAAATTTCAAATCTCCCTCTGACTCTGACCCCCTCGTCTGCCTCCCTTGGTTAATTTAAAGGACTTTTATGATTACATTGGGCTTATCAGGAAAATCCAGGATAAACTCCTTAATGTAAGATCAGCTGATTAGCAACCCTAGTTCCATCTGAAACTGTAATTCCCCCTTGACACAGATATCTTTAGCAGACCATTATTTTGCCTACCACAAGGTACAAACTGAATTAATTACCTTCTGTAATCTCAAGGCGACCTAACTAACCCTACAGTGTGTGCTCAGGATTCCTTCATTTTTTTCAGAGTCCTTTGTGCTAAATCCTTGCTCATGAATTCATTCACTCATTCATTTAATAAATAGCCAATGAGTAACTACCACAGGCCAAGCACTACTTAGGAACTAAACATAGACTGGTAAAGAAGATGTTCCCTGCTCTCATAGAGTTTACAATTTCGTGGATGAACAAACCATAAATAAGCTAACCAGTAACTAATATTTAAATACTTCATTATTATTTATTTCTATGGAGGCTTTATTTTTCTCCTAATTGGCTTGACAAATATTGGCTGTGTCTTGGAACTTCTATTGCTCTTTGTTCTTCTAACTGAACTCTCTGTACATTCCCTGTAGGTGATCAGGACACTGAAGGAGGAGACGGCCTTTGCTAAGACATGATGGATGGGAAATGGCACCTTCTGCCTAGAGTCCGGCAGGAACAGATTTCCATGGCACAGAATTCAGTGTCTCATGACTCTCCACATAAATCCCTAAATGACAACACGTCCCGCATCCCACGCTTCCCGCCTCCCACCAGAGCAGTCGATCAAGAGTATTTACATTTTGTTTTTTGATTTTTGTGTTTTTTTGGGGATGGAGTCTTGCTCTGTCACCCAGGCTGTAGTTCAGTGGTACAATCTCGGCTCATTGCAACCTCTGCCTCCCAGGTTCAAGTGATTTTCCTGCCTCAGCCTCCTGAGTAGCTAAGACCACAGGCATGCACCACCACTCCCAGCTAATTTTTGTATTTTTAGTAGAGACGGGGTTTCACCAGTTGGCCAGGCTGGTCTCGAACTCCTGACCTCAAGTGATCCACCTGCCTCGACCTCCCAAAGTGCTAGGATTACAGACGTGAACCACCGCGCCTGGCCGGTATTTACATTTTAATTACTTCCTGCTAAGTTCATGGTAGTTGAATCAGCAGGAAGTACCAAACTGCCCAAAACAAATTAGAGGGAGAAATGGACAGTTTTTATAAGTCAGTTAAATGAGAAATAAGGAGATAATCACAATTGTGTAGGATGGATTTCCACTCCTTAACTATTACCCATGTATAATTAATATACCATAACAGAAGGTGCACTAAGTTGCTAATTCAATGTTTCTACTGTTTTATCTTGACCAGGTCTACAGCATGGTGTCCTGTTTTGTAGGAGGTAGGTAAAAATATGGCCATCCTTCACACAGCTGTAACGAGGCTATTTTTAAAGGAGTTTAAAGCATGGGGCAAATCTCAGGTCCCGGGTCAAAGGGTTTTTTATACAATCACTAAAAATTATTCCAAAGCTTCTGTAGTTCAAGCCACATTTTATTCTTGTTATCACACTAGAATCATAGGTTCCTGAAACACAGGACCTTGAAAAACGTCTTTTAATTATGTGTTGACAGTAGCACCATCCACTCCCTCCTTCTCCAGGACTCTTTCTTCCTCCCCCTGACACAAATATTCATCCTGGGAGATGATGTTGTGTTATAACACATGGCCACAAACTTTAAATCTCAGCTAAACACTCCATAGTGCCAAAACAACTAGCAATTGCTGAAACAATTAACTTTCTCCCCGAATGGGTGAAAAAATTAGAGTGGCCATCAACTAGGGATTTCATTCAGTATTTCCTTGTCATTCGCAGATTTTTGGCTGAATTGATATCAAATTCTACTGTATGTGTCAGCCTTGCCTGCTTTCCTTCCATCTGAAACCTTGTCGTTTCACATTTTCATTCATTTAATTCCTATTGCTCTATGAATCAAAGTCCCTGCAGGACACTTAGAGAACGTTCCAAAGATTGGACTGAAGTGAGTTAAAAGAAGGATTATTTACAGAGAATACATCTGTGGCCAGTCAGGGAAAGAGCAAGAGGAATCGGCACTCTGACTTTTCTTTCATTCTGTCTTCTGATATCCCACCAATACCTGTCATTGGTCAGACTCAAGCAAATGACAGAGGCCAACACAGGCCAACGTCATCAGCTGCCTAGGGCACAGAACAGAGTATGTGCAATGGTCTACAGGGCGCAGAGTGGAAGCCATTCACCAGCTCAACAACATTGACTTTCCCTCCCTAAGACTGACCAGGCTACCACCCAGTGGGCAGAGTGCCCACCCAGCCAACAGAGACCAAGCCAAGCCCCTGACATGGCAACATTCCAGAGGGGGACCAGCCAGCCTGCAGGTAGACACAGCACATTGGATGCCTCTTTCATGGAGTGGGTAGAGTTCTGTTCCACACTACACGCAAAAATGAATTCTAAATGGATTAAACAGCAGGAAAATGCAACATAGGTAGTAAAATAAACAGAATTTGTTCATAAATAAACTTAAGACAGAGAAGTCCTCCTTTGGAAAAGACATGACATTTGAAGAGAAAGATTGATGGATTTTACTACTTAAAAATTTCAAACTTACAGCCAGGAGCAGTGTGTCAGACCTGTAATCCAAGTACGTGGGAGGGTTGTTTGTGGTCAGGAGCTCAAGGTAAGCCTGGGCAACATAATAAGAACCCATCTTTACAAAAAAAAAAATTTTAATTTAATTTAACACCTGTTATCCCAGCTACTCAGGAGGCTGGGGCAGGAGAATTGCTTGGGTCCAGAAGTTGGAGGCTGTGGTGAGTTATGAACATGCCACTGCACTCTAGCCTGGGCAACAGAGACAGACCCTGTCTCAAATAAATAAATAAATAAATACATACATATATATGTGTGTGTGTGTGTGTATATATACACATATATATGTGTATATATATGCTTAAACTTAAACTTTCTTAATACTAAAGGCAGCACAAAGTTGAAAACAAACAGCAGATAGGAAGATATTTACAACAAGTAACAATAATACAATAATAACTGATTCAAATGCTGCTAATTATGTGCCAGATGCCAACCTAATGTGTCCTTATTCATTTAAACCTACAACAGGGTGAAGTAGGCACTATTATTGTCCTTCTCACTTTTCAGGCTAGGAGACTGAGATATAAAGAGGTTGAGTCACTTGGCCAAGATCACACAGCTAGTAAGTGGCACAACCAAGATTAGAATCCAGACAGCCTTGCTTCATGGACTGTGCTGATAACCCATACCCGATGTCACCTCTCATTTTTTAGGCAGGGAGGGCGAATGGAGTCTCACTCTGTTGCCCAGGCTGGAGTGCAGTGGCTCAATCTTGGCTCACTGCAACCTCCGCCTCCCAGGTCCAAGCTATCCTTCTGCCTCAGACTCCCAAGTAGTAGGTACTACAGGCATGTGCCACCACACCCTGCATTTTTGTATTTTTAGTGGAGACAGGGTTTCACCGTGTTGGCCAGCCTGGTCTCAAACTTCTGACCTCAAGTGATCTGCTCCCCTCAGCCTCCCAAAGAGCTGGGATTACAGGCATGAGCCACCACTCGTGGCCCCCTCTCATTTTTTTTAATGCTACCTAAAAGAGACCATTAATTTATATTCACAATATATAAAGAAATCTGAAAATCAATAAGAAAAAACAACTCAATAGAAAACTCAGCAAAGATTCTTAGTGGACAATTCACAGAAGAGAAAATTTAAATGACCAACAAACATACAAAATTTCACTAGTAATTAAGGATATGCAAATTTTTAAAATGAGACATCTTTTTTTTTTTTTACCCACTACATAATTAAAAGAATGGACCAGGTGTGGTGGCTCACACCTGTAATCCCAGCACTTTGGGAGGCCAAGACAGGCGGATCACGAGGTCAGGAGATCGAGACCACCCTGGTTAACATGGTGAAACCCCATCTCTACTAAAAATACAAAAAAATTAGCTGGGCGAGGTGGCGGGCGCCTGTAGTCCCAGCTACTCGGGAGGCTGAGGCAGGAGAATGGCATGAACCTGGGAGGCGGAGCTTGCAGTGAGCCGAGATGGAGCCACTGCACTCCAGCCTGGGCGACAGAGCAAGACTCCGTCTCAAAAAAAAAAAAAAAGAAAAAAAATTAAAAGAATGTTATCATGCATTGGCAAAGAAATAGTCACTCTCATAGACTGTGGGTTGGAATACAAATTGATAGAGCTTTTGTGGTAGTATATAATAAAATGTTAACTATCTATTAGCTGGTGACTCAGCAGAGCCCATTGCCTACTATCTAATCTACAGAAATATGGGCGTGTGTACACCAAGATATCTCTGCCATCTTACTTGTAATAATAGGATTTTGGAACCACCTAAAGTCAATTGGTGTTGATAGATTTTTTAAAACATGGTACAGTTTTTAAGAGGGGATTACTTAGCAAAGTTTCCACACCCACACATCCACAGCTCGCTTGCTCAATACAGCCGTGAGACGTGTTTTGTGTGACCATGGTATTTAACACAATTTCGAATTTGAAAGCCTTTACTGCGACAGACAATCTCCATTTTCTCATGGGTCCCATTGTTTCTATGTCTTTTATTTACCATGCCTCCCTAGCCTCTGAGTGCACTTGAGCTTGCAGTGCCCAATTAAACCCTAAGTACATAACCAAAAAGGAGCTTAAAATTCCTCAAGAGTCTTGGATTCAATATAAACACTCTGCAATAGTTCGGAAGCCTGAGAGGCAGTACCACATGGTACTCATAGACTCTTAACCTCATAGACTCTGAAACTCATAGACTCTTGAGCTCACAGACTCTGAAGTCAGACTGGCAGGCCTCAAATCCCAACTGCACCACTTACTGTCTGTGTCACTGGCAACCCCTGAATTTCTCTGTGCCTCAGTGTCATCTGAAAGGCAGAATTAACAACACCCTCTTTGTTGTGAGAATTGAATAAGTAGCACATGTGAAGTTCTCAGAACAGTGCCCTACATATACAAAATGTTCAATAAATGTTAGCTGTGGCTACTATGGCTGTTACAAGTAACAACACGGAAAGATCTCTGAAACACACGTTTAAAAAAAATGCACGCAAACACTGTCGGGAGCATGCAGAATATGATTGCTATTATAAGTACACGTAGGCCAGGCGCACTGGCTCACGCCTGTAATCCCAGCACTTTCAGAGGCCGAGGCGGGTGGATCACCTGAGTTCAGAAATTCAAGACCAGCGTAGCCAACATGGTGAAACTTCATCTCTACTAAAAAATACAAAAATTAGCCCGGCATGGTGGCGCATGCCTGTAGTCCCTGTTACTCAAGAGGCTGAAGCAGAATTGCTTGAACCCGGGAAGCAGAGGTTGCAGTGAGCTGAGACTGTGCCACTGCACTCCAGCCTGGGTGACAGAGTGAGACTCCATCTCAAAAAAAAAAAAAAATATGTGTACATGTACGTATACATGTTTGCATAAATATACGGGAACATAATGGATCACTTACTCTTCAATCATAGTCTTTAATCCTTTATGGAATGAGGTATAGTTAGAAAAATAAGTTATTGGCTAGGCACAGTGCCTCATGCCTATAATCCCAGCACTTTGGGCAGCTAAGTTGGGTAGATTACTTGAGCCCAGGAGTTCAAGACCAGCCTGTGCAACATGAGTAAGCCTTGTCTCTAGTAAAAATACAAAAAATTAGCTGGGCGTGGCGGCACACACCTGTGGTTCCAGCTACTTGGGAGGCTGAGGTGGAAGGATCACCCGAGCCTGGGAAGTCCAGTCTGCAGTAAACCACGATCGCACCATTGCACTCCAGTCTGGGTGATGGGATTGAGACCCTCTCTAAAAAACAAAATAAAGATAAATTATGTTCAAACTTTATATAGAAAAAAAGAACTGGAAAAAATACATCAAATTGTTCACCAAAGAATGAGTTAATTTTGCTTATTTTTTTCTTTTTCTTTTCCAATTATTCTTTTAGACTTCTATTAATATATTAGCTTCATAACACAAAAAATTAAATATCCTTTTTTAAATAAACACACTGATAACATATAGTAATAATGACGCTTGAAAACAAAGAACTTTTCTCAGTCCTGATTGTTTTCATGCTATAAAATCAACTTTTGCAGACCTTCCTCCTTTACCTCTTTAAAAATGAGGCAGAAAGCTCTAAAAACAATAACAAAAATGCCTGCTCATGAATAAAGATTAAAGAACTAAGAATCGTTTTGTTTGGAAGGAGGCAGAAATTACTAAGCAAAGGTCCTAAACCCACAGTTCTACTTGCTCAATACAGCTTTCAGACATGTGTTTTGTTTGACCATGGTATTTACCACAATTTCGAATTTGGAAGCCTTTACTGGGGACACAATCTCCATTTTCTCTTGGGTCCCATCATTTCTAATTGTCTTTTATTTACGATGCCGTCCTAGCCTCTGAATACATTTGAGCTTGCAATACCCAATTAAACCGTAAGTATATAACCAAAAAGAAGCTTTGAGTTCTTCAAGAGTCTTGGATTCAATATAAAGAAATAGTATACAGTTCTAAACCAACGGAAGTCTTCGAAGTCCCATTCTTGGCAACTTTTTTTTTTTTTTTTGAGACAAAGTCTCACTCTGTTGCCCAGGCTGGAGTACAGTCGTAAGATCTCAGCTCATTGAAACTTCCACCTCCCGAATTCGACTGATTCTCCTGCCTCACCCTCCCAAGTAGCAGGGATTATAGGCTCCTGCCTCCACGCCTGGCTAATTTTTCTATTTTTAGTAGAGGTGGAATTTCACGCTGTTGGCCAGGCTGGTCTCAAACTCCTAACCTCAAGAGATCCACCTGCCTCGGCCTCCCAAAGTGCTGGGATTATAGACATGAGCCACCACGCCCAGCCCTCTGGCAACTTTAATAGTAGGATTTTTAACTTTCTGTCTCAGATGATTTTTTTTTTTTTTTGAGACAGAGTCTTGCTGTCACCAGGCTGGAATGCAGTGGCATGATCTCAGCTCACTGCAAGCTCTGCCTCCTGGGTTCAAGTGATTCCCCTGCATCTGCCTCCCAAGAAGCTGGGACTACAGGCGCCCGCCACCAAGCCCAGCTACTTTTTGTATTTTAGTAGAGATGGGGTTTCACCATGTTGGCCAGGATGGTCTCAATCTCCTGACCTTGTGATCTGCCTGCCTCGGCCTCCTAAAGTGCTGGGATTACAGGCGTGAGCCACCACACCCGGACCTCAGATGATTTTTATATAAACTTTCATCAACATCAACATCAAGATAGTAGTTCTCAACTTCAGTGTGGACAGAATGGGCAGTACCCGGAGTGCTTGTAAAAATGCAGAATTCTGGAGCCACACCCACCCCACTCCCAGGACCCTGGTTTGTTAGGTGATGACAAATCAGAGAAACCTTAGACCACATTGCAAGAAGCTATATTGTAGTAGAGACCTCCAGGGTGCTCTTTAGGTCCCCAACTCTCCCCCCATGGGATGGGCTGACAATCGAA